GTCCCCCCCAGCGCCCCGTTTTCCCCTGCCAGGCCCCAGCTCCCGGCTCCCTCCAGTACCCAGCTACCCCTCGAGCCCCGGGACCCTCCAGGCCCCAGCTCCCCACCTCAGCCCCCGGTGCCCCCCAGCCCTCCCCGGCAGCGGGTGATGGGTGGCTGTGTCGGCAGGGCAGGGGCTGGGCAAGCGGCAGGACGGCATCGCCGAGGCCATCCGGGTGAAGGTGAAGTGTGACACGGCGGGGGTGAGTGCAGCCCCCCTGCCCGGCCCGGGCCCCGCGCCCGCCGCCGGCCGCGGTCATTGCGGCGGCTCCTCTGCACCCCGCAGGTGGGACACGACGCGGCGGAGCCCTTCACCTTCCACTGGTGGGACCACGTCTTCAACAAGGCGGCTGCCAACATCGCTGTGGAGGCCGGGCAGGTGGGAGGGCTGCAGGGGCACCCTGCTCAGACGGGGATAGGGTGGAAGGCAGGGGAGGGGGTTGGGGTCCCTTTGGTGGTCCTTGTGCTGCCGCTGTGTGTGTGTCCCCGCAGCCCCTCTCAGCACAGGGACCGTGGTGGCAGAGACGTGCTGCTAGAGGGGTGCATACCCTCGGGCAGATCGTTCCCGAGCCCTTTGTCTCTCCTCTCCAGGATGGCATCTCCGTGAAGGCGCTTTCCGAGCAGGGAGGCGGGATCAGCAATAAGAAGCCGCGCAAGGCCGGGGGCACCGGGGACCTGCTGTACGGCCGCTTTGTGAAGGTAACCGGCCCTGGGATGCGGCTCAGAGAGCAGCTGGTGTCTCTGCAAAGGCTGTGGAGAGCTCTGCACCCCCCTTGCAGCACAGCCCCCAGCCTATTGCTGCTGTGTCCCCCTTCCTCACGGCCCCTCTGTGTCCCTGGTGCAGTCGGCCACACTCACGGCCTGTGGGGAGGAGTCCGTGACGCTGCCCGCTGGCTCCGAGAGCAGCGAGGAGGAGGAGGAGGAGAAGCTGGACCTCTCTTCAGCCAGGAGGCAAGGCTGAGCCCCATCTCCACGATGGGGAGGGATGAGGGCTGTGAGGGGCAGCCCCGGTCTGGACCGTGCCCCTGCCACACTGCTGGGGGGTGACACATCCTCTCTGTGTCCCACAGGCTGACAGACGAGGAGCTGGTGCAGGCGTGTGGGGGCCGCACGGCACACAAGTGAGTGGCTGGGGGGGGCTGCATGGCCGGGCTGGGGGCACGTTTCCTGCCAGGGAGATGCCAGATCCCACTGCCTTTGGTCGTTGCAGGGGTGCCCGTCATGGCCTGACCATGAGTGCCAAGCTGGCGCGCCTGGAGGAGCAGGAACGAGCCTTCCTGGCCATGTACCGGCACAAGGAGCAGCAGCAAGAGCTCCTGGAGAGCAGCCCCCTGGCAGAGAGCCAGGGCAAAAAGAAGAAGAAAAGGAAAAAGTCCAGGGACAGAGCTGACCCTGAGGTGCCCCAGAGCCAGGAGTCAAATGGGGAGGAGGAGGAGGTATCAGGAAAAGAAGTGAAGGTTGTGAAGAGGAAGAAAAAGAAGATCGGGGAGCCAAGTGGAGAAGAGGAGGCATCAGGAGAGGAGGGGAAAGTCATGAAGAGGAGGAAGAAACCAGAGGCAAGCACAGAACAGGAGGTGGCAGAAGATGATGGGAAAGCTGCAAAGAGGAAAAAGAAGAAGAAACGGAAGCAGGAGGAGGAGGACAAAGAAGAGCCAGCTGAGACAGACATACCTCTAGAAGGCACAGGTGAGCCAGACCTGGGACACAGCCCCAGGAAGAAGAGAAAAAAGAAGAAAAGGAAGAGGGAGCCAGAGTAAGCAAGTGCCATGGCTGCCGTGTTGTGCAGCTGCCAGTCCCACCTTGCTGTGAGGGTCCCAATCCTGGTGCTGGTGGGTGCCCAAGGGTGCTCCAGGCTTGTCCCAGACAGAGCCTGGCACTGTGGCTCAGCCTGGGAATGCTGGGCTGGGCTGGGTTGGTCTGGAGCTGGATCAAGCTTTATTTCACCCCCTGAGCCTTCACTGGTCAGGGATGACCCCAGTTCCCCCCAGGGCCTGGGGCAGGGACCCATATGCTGTGGGCTTGTTGCAGAAGGACACAAGGGGACAGACCCCGCAGCGTATTGAAGTATTTTTTCAAGGGCACAAATAAATCTTTATTGCAGTGAGACTACTCTGAAGTGTGAGTGGTGCAGGAAGTGGCAGAGCCCAGGATCCCAGATCACTTGGATCAGGCAGCAACCCCAAACAGAGCCCTCCCCAGCAGCCCCCCATCACTCCCACCTCCTGGGCCTTTGGTCTGCAGTGACCTTTGATCCTGCTGGGTTGGGCTGAAGCCCAGCAAGGTGCTGAGCACCCTCCCAGCAGAGGCTTGGGCAGAATTTGGCCCTGATGTGCAGTACTGAAGCCGAGCCCAGCCCCCGTGGCCCCAGCCCTATGTGAGCTGCAGGACACAGTCTGTGCCAGGGTAGGCTGGCAGGTTTAGAGCGTATTTCTCCTGCAGCGCGGGGGGCACAAACCTGCCCCCGAGGAAGTGGTACCGCCCAGCAAAGTGCGTCGCCGCCTTCTTGGGCGCCGTGAGCGAGATGAGCATGTCGGGCTGGAGGCCGTCTGCCTTCCCCTTCTCCACGTCCCAGCCTGCAACGAGCCCCGTGGCTGGGCTGGAGCTGGGACCACCCTGGCCGGGCACCTTCCTCCAGGGGGTGCGGCCGTTACTCACCCGAGGGGATGTCGATGCTGGCGATGGGCACCGTGACGCGCTCCAGGGTGCTGAGGATGCTGCCGAAGGGCTCCCGCACCGCCCCCTTGAAGCTGAATCCGAAAATCGCGTCCACCACCAGGCCGTAGAGCTCGTCAATGAATGCAGCCTGCAGCAGGGATGGCAGCAGGTGAAGGGCAGCACTGGGCACCGCTCCCCCTGCTCCCGAGCCGGCGGCTGCCCCTCACCTCAGCTGGGAATTCTGGGAGGAAGGGGATGTCCATCTTCTCGCACTGGATGGTCAAACCTTCAAAGAGGGGCTTGCTGGGGCGCTTGGGGTAATACACGGTGGGCAGGTAGCCCTACAAGAGCATGAGGGACCTGAACTAATCCTGCTCTGGCACCAGCAGCAGCCAGAGGAACAGGACCCCAAAGCCTGTGGTTACGGGGCACACGGGCATTGGCAGCCTCGCGGGGAGTGTGCAGAGACTCACAAACATCTTCAGGTGCCGGGCACAGACCAGCCCATCGCCGCCGTTGTTCCCTGGCCCGCAGACCACGAGCACAGCGGGCTGGCTCGTCGTGAAGGAGCTGGGTGGGTAGGCCTGGTAGGAGATGTGGAGTTATGGTGGGAAAGCAAGGCCACACAACGGAACCAGGACTCCCACCTGCCTCCCACGATCCCAACCTTGGTGCTGCCATAGCTCTTGCCATGGGACTGGGACCCCACCCTAGGACTCTTCCCAGGATCCCCACTTGCCTCCCTGGTGTCCACCCTGGCAGTGGCACAGCTCAGTCCACAGTGCTGGGGCCCCCCCGAACCCCTACCTTGGTAATGGCAGTGGTGCAGCTCAGTCCACAGTGCTGGGACTTCCCCCCCCTTTCAACTGCCTCCTGGGCCCCCACCTTGGCAGTAGCACTGCTCAGCCCATGCTGCCAGGACCCCCCCCGGGACCCCCCTGTTCCCCAGGGCCCCCACCTTGGCAGTGACACAGCTCTGCCCACGGGACTGGGACCCCCCTAAACCCCTTCCCAGGATCCCCACCTGCCGCCCTGGTGCCCACCTTGGTGGTGGCACAGCTCAGTACACAGTGCTGGCACCCCACAGGACCCCCCCTGCCCCTCGGGACCCCCACCTTGGCGATGGCAGTGGCACAGCTCAGCCCTGCCAGCTCCATCAGCTGGTCCACGCTGAACTTGTACTCAGTGAAGAGCTCCTGGTCGATGGCCTGGGCCTCCTCCTGCCTGGGGGGAGGAGGATGGCACCCCTGGGGACCCCGACACCCGGCCACCCCCAGGGTCTGCAGGGCTGGGGGCTGCCACGATCCCCTCGACTTTGCATGAGCCATAGGGGGACACACACAGGGTCCAGCTCCCCATGCTGAGCCCCCCCGTGTATATCTGCACCCCAACCTCCGGTCCTGCCCCACCCCCCCGCCCCCCCCCGCCCCCCCCCATCCCCCCCCCCCTCGACCCCTTCCCCCCCCACCGTGCCTCCTCCTCCACCCTGCCCGCCCCCCCCGCACCCTGCGGACCCCCAGAACCCCCCGCCCGCTCTACCACCCCCTCCTGCCCCCCGCGCCCCCCCCGCAGCCGTACCCCAGGAATCGGAGCCCCTTCGGGCCGGGCCCCGCGCTGGGCCCGTGCATGGTGCGGCGGGGGGGGCACCGGCCCCACTCCCGGCCCTGACCCCAACCCCGACCCCAACCCCAGCCCCGGCACCGCCCGCCCGCCCGCGCCGCTGCCACGAGCAGCCCGAGCCCCAGCAGCGCCCTCGGGCCCGGCATGCGGCGGGCACGGCCCGGAACAGCCCCGAACGCCCCGGAACGGCCCGGAACGGGGTGCGGAGCTCGGAAGGAGCAGGCGCGGGGCCGCCCCGGGGCGGAGCGACCGTCACCGAGCGCCCGGGCGGGGCCGTGCAGAGCCCTCGGTGCCTCCCCACGGCGGCACTCGGCGGCCCATCCAGCCCCCTCCGCCCCCTCCAGCCCCCTCGGGACCCCCGCGGTCCCTCCAGCCCCCGTCTGGAACCCCGCCGTCCATCCAGCCCCCTCCTTCCACCCCAGTCTCCCCCGGGACCCCCACAGTCCCTTCAACCCCCTCCTTCCCCGCCAGTCCCTCTCGGGACCCTGCAGTCTATCCAGCCCCCTTCTCCCCCTCCAGCCCCCATCCAGGACGTCGCCGTCCTTCCAGTCCCTCTCTAGGCCGGGACCTCGTGGTCCATCCAGCCCCCTCCGCCCCCTCCAGTCCCCTCAGGACCCCGCGGTCCCTCCAGTCCCTTCATTCCCCTCACCACCAGACCCTGGCACGGAAAGGATGGCAGAAACAGAGTGGGGTTAAAACCATGTTGGCTCAATGGCCCCCCCCCGCTCCAGCTTGGGGCTGTCCCTCCTGAGAAACGACATCTCCCACGTGTCCTGCTGGTCACACGAGGTTGCAGACAAGGGACAGTGTCCTGGTCCCTCTGCGGGGTTCCCGGCGGGGCCAACAGCTGGTGACAGTGGCAGTGGGGTCATCGCCAGGGCTGCGAGATCACGGAGGTATCACCGGTTGTGGGGGTGTCCAGCGGGATGCAAAATGGAGTTATGGAGTCATAGACTGCTTTGGGTGGGAAGGGACCTTAAATCCCATCTTGTCCCACCCCCCGCCATGGTCAGGGACATCTTCCACTATCCCAGGTTGCTCCAAGCCCCGTCCAACCTGGCCTTGGACACTTCCAGGGATGGGGCAGCCACAGCTTCTCTGGGCAACCTGTGCCAGGGCCTCACCACCCTCCCAGCCAAGAATTTCTTCCCCATATCCTGTCTAACCCTGCCCTCTGGTAGTGGAAAGCCATTTCCCCATGTCCTGTCTCTCCAGGCCCTTGTCCAAAGTCCCTCTCCAGTCCTCCTGAAGCCCCTTTAGGCACTGAAAGGCAGCAGCAGGCAGGAGGTTCATACCTGGGTGCTGGGAACCACCCTCAGATCTACTGCCCCATCCACAGGGCAGGGTTTGATGTTGGCTACAAGGTGTCAAAATCCCCAGGCCCTGTGATTTTTAGCTTGGAGACTTGTCCATTGCAAGGATCAGGGGTGTCCCAAGCCCTGCTGGGGGTCTCCACCCCTGAACCCTCCTCTCAGAGGACACTCTGGAGCCCAAACCTCCTGTCTGCTCCCTTGTCCACACCCCCAGGGCATCACCTACCGCTCCAGAGGCCTTGGCTGGAGGGTTTGGTGGTCACAATGCCCTGTGGAACACAGTGTGAGACCTGCAACCTTGGGGTCTCCATGGAAGTGACACTCCAGTTGTGTTCTGTACTTACATGGCTGGAGGTCTGTGTGGGGTGGTGGGGCCAGGCACAGGGGGGTGGTCCTGTTACTGGCAACAAAGTGCAGCTCATGTGGAGGTGACAGAGAGCATCTGCATGACGAACTCCCCCCATTCCATCGGGACCGAGCCCTCCCCAGGTTCCAGCTGGAAGTACCCCAAACACACTCCCCAGAATTACGTATCTTTAAAAATCTCTGGATTTTCCCCATTAACCAGGAGAAGTCCCTGGAGAGACACCACTCTTTGTGCTATATCTGCTGCAGGGGTATTTGGGTACCAGGGGCTGTACTGGGGTGACTTCCCCTCGCCCACCTACCTGTTAGCCTGGGACTGACTCAGACACCCTGGAGCCACACTGGGACCACCCTCATCCTCCCCAGAGGTGCTCAGGATGCTGTGTGGGTTGCGGGGCTCCAGCGAGAGGCCATCAGTCAGGGCCACTCCTCTGCCTCCGGGGAGGAAGGACGAACAGGCAAGAGCAGAGTATCAGACTGTGTTGAAGCCTCAGCTCCATCAGGAATCTCCTGGATGGCTCAATCCTGCATTTAGTTCTAACCCTCTCACCTGAATGCCTGGGATGTGCTCCCGGCACACACATGTAGAGCTGGTCCTTGGCTTTCCCTCCAAAGGACCTGGAGTGAAGGAAGGAAGGTTTGTCTCCTGTGTGATGCTGGGAACTCATCCCAGAGGAAGGACGGAGAGGATAGCAGCTTTCCTACTCACACCTCACTGCCCTGGACCCGTGTCCCACTGGCCTGGGGCAGCATGGAGCAAAACCGCAGCTGGCTGAGCTCCTGCTGGGATGGAGGGATGGCTGGGGCTCAAATGTGTGTCCCTCTGCCCACCAAACCTCTTGCCACCAACCCCTACTGGGGTCCCAGCCCTCAGCCCGCCTCTGTGTCCCACGCCCTGGGTGATGCTCACCGGAGCTGGGGTGGGCACCCGGCCCCCACTACGGGAGAGGCGCCCACCGAGGCAGAGCCGGTGCTGGATGGCATCTGTGAGCTTGTGCACAACCTGCTCTCGGGCAGCTCTGGGGGTGTCCTGTGGTGGACAGAGCCCACATGGGTGATGGGCAGAGTGGGTCTGTCCCCAGGGCTGGGGCACCCGTGATGCACAGCAGAGTCTGGCCCTGGAGGTTCCCCAGTGTGTCTTACCTGGCAGTGGGAAAGCAAAGTCAGGGCCTCCTGGTAGTGCTCAATGGCTTTCTGGGGGTCTCCCAGGTGGAAGCAGGCTGTGCCCAGCCCCTCACATGCTTGCCACTGCCCCTGCACATCCCCTGGGAAGCAAAGGGCAGCATCAGTCCCAGCAAGGTGCAGTCGAGGTCCTGGGCAGGGAGCATCACCCAGCTTGAGTCCAATCAGCACCTGGATGCTGCAGACCACCCGGGGGGGGGGGTTTGCCTGTGCCTCCCCTTACCTGCGTCCCGGAAGGCTTGCAGGGCATGCAGGTAGTTCTCCGCGGCAGCCTCGTGGTTCCCGAGCCGGCTGCAGGCGTACGCCAGGTTCCCGAAGCACTGCCCCTGAGCCCTCCGGTTCCCCAGAGCGCCTGGAATTGGGAACATGGGGCTCCATCCCAAGCCGGCACATCCAGCAAAGCCAAGAGCCGGAGGCAGCGGTGTAACCTACCGTGCAGCGCGGCTGCGCGCCGGTGCCAGCCCAGCGCTGTGCCAAAACTGTCCAGGGCGTTGTGGGCAGCGCCCAGGTTCTGCAGCAGTGCAGCCTCCTGGTGCCGGTCCCGCTCCAGCTCCCCTCCACAGAGCCCGAGGGCCCGCTCGAAGCTCTCAGCAGCCAGGGAGAAGATGTGGAGCTGGGAGTAACCCAGGCCGATGTCATTGTAGAGTTTCCCTGGGGGTGTAGAGGAAAAGTGGGTGCAGGAGCTGCTCCCTGGACCCTTGAGAGCAAAGGGTGCAGCGCAGCGTTACCTCGCAGGGCTGGGTCAGGGATGGTCTCACAGAGCGAGCGGCACTGGGCGAGGACCCCTGCGATCTCCGCCGCTCGGAACCTCTGGCTCTGCAGCATGGAGCCACTGGCCCTGCTCAGAGCCACCGCCGCGCCCTCGGGGCTCTCCGCTGCCCTGTAGGTCTGTGCCGCGGCCAGGAAGCACCGCGCGGCTCGTGCCGGCTCCCGCAGCCCCAGGTAGCAGCAGCCCATCTGCACGTGGGTCCCTGCTTGACCACCAGCCTGTGACATGTCATTGTGGCCGGTGGCTTTGCCAAAACAAGCCTTAGGAAAGTCCTGAAGCCCTTCCTGAGCTGCCCCAGCATTGAAATAAAGGTCCCCCGAGTGTTCCCCTTTCTCCCTCTCCGAGGGCTGGGACTGGAGGAGGAACTCAAGGGCCTTTCTTGGCTTCCCAGTCTCCACGTAGGCAGCCCCCAGGTTGAAGGCACAAGCCCTGTGGAGCTGAGTGCTCACCATGTCCCTGGAGAGGAGCAGGGCCTTCCTGAAGCACCCCACTGCCTCCTGCCCGGCACCCAGAGCCAGCGCCTGGCGCCCGGCTTGTGTGAGCCCCTCGATCGCGGCCACCCTCCCCACTGCCTCGTCACCTCCCTCCTGGGCACCTCCCCTGGCCTTGGCCTTCTCCTTTTTCTTCTGGCTCTTCTTGCAGCTAGGAGGGTTGGTGGGGGCCGCGGAGGCTGCAGGGGCTGCAGGGGTGGTGGTGCTGGTGGTGGGGAGGACGGGGTTGTCAGGGCTGGTGGGTTGCACTCCTGGGTCAGCAGCCTCCTCTGAAGCCATGGGCAGGGGCAGTGACTTGCCTACAAGAGAGGCAGATGCTCAGGCAGCCGAGCTGGCATGATCCTGCCAGGGATCACTTCAAATGAGCAGAGTTATTTTATATTATTTACGAAAAATTAGGGAACTCTTGTAAGTTTGTTTGCTGCTAAAATTTCAAGGAGGAAAAAGGCCTTTCCACAGAGGACCCTGCAAACCTCGGTGGCCACCAGAGGTGAGAGAGGTCACTCCGGGGGAACGGGGGAGATGCTGCAGCATGGGGTGGGAAGTTCCCAGGGTGCCTTTTTGGGAGGCAGAATAACCATTTGCACACACTTACTGTTTGCTTTTCAGGCGCAAAGGGTGCTGAGAGCAGGGAGGGGAGGGACAGGGCATCCCTGCTGTCGCTGCTGTAAGTCACGGCTCTCCGATGGGGATGGATGGAGGTCCGAGGGGCCTCTCCGCCTGGGCTTCCTGGAAAGTTGCCCTGAGCAAGTCGCAGCCCCCCAGTGATGGCTGCTGGTGCCTGGTGCTGGAGCACAGCCGGGTTCTGAGCGGCAGGAGCTGGCACAGGCTGGGACAAAGCTCCTGGGGAAGCACATCCTGCAATGGCCCCGCTGGCTCTGGTTTCATCCCTGTCACCAGCACGGTGTGCAGCACCATGGCAACTCCGTGCAGCAGCACCGGTGTGAGACTGTCATGGATGGACGGCACAAACTGGGTGACAGTGTCGTGGTTTAAGACCAGATGGAAATTAGGCACCACACAGCCACTCGCTCAATCCCCCTTTTTTTCCCTTCCAACCCCATGGAATGGGGAGGAGAATCAAAAGTGAAACTTGTAGGTTGAGATAAGAACGGTTTAACAATTGAAAACAAAGTAAAATACAATAATAATGGTAAGTAATAATAATAAAAAGAAAGGGAAAGAAAAAACCCCCAAGTGATGCACAATACAATTGCTCACCACTCGCTGACTGATGCCAAACTCCCTTCCCAAACGCAGATCAGCCCCTCCCAGGTAATTCCCCCAGTTTATATACTGGGCATGATGGTCTATGGTGTGGAATATCCCTTTGGCCAGTTTGGGTCACCTGCCCGGGCTGTGCTCCCTCCCAGTTTCTTTTGTGAACCTTCTCACTGGCAGAGCATGAGGCACAAAAAAATCAAAAGGTCCTTGACTTAGGAGAAACACAATTAAGCAAAAACCAAAACATCAGCGTTATCAACATTATTCTCATTCTGAATCCAAAACACAGCACTGTGCCAGCTACTGAGGAGAATATTTTAGCTCCGTGCCAGCCGGAACCAGGATTGATGGATCCTACAACTGCACGATGGAGGGCACAACTGTGTGCTGGGCAGCACCAGCGCACGATGGGCAGGACACGGGCACAATGGATGACACAACCACACCATGGATGGCACAACCGGTTCCTCGCTGTCTCGGCAGCTCATGGCAGGCGCTGGGGGCTCGGTTTGTGGCAGGGCAGGTCTGTGCTTTGGCACAGGTTGACGGACAGTTGCAGAGCAACCAGGGCACAGTGAACCCAGGGCTGGCACCCTGGGCCTGGCACAGCCCTGGCCCCTGGGCACAGCCCGAGGTGGGGTCCCCCAGCAGCCCCTGCTTGGACCTTCACCCACCGGTTCCCCCTGCACCCCGCTGCGTGCCAGCCCCTAAACCCATGGGGTCCTCCCGCCCCCCCGTGTGTGCCACCCCCCACACCCACGGGCTCCTCCTGCCCCTCGGTAGTGCTGCCACCCTCCCTCCCTCTCTCCCTCTCTCCCCTCGGGACTCCCCTTGCCCCCCGCTGTGTGCTACTCCCCCCACCCACGGCCTCCCCCCCTCTCCTCGGGGGTCCCCACGCACCCCGTTTTGTGCCACTCCCCGCACCCACGGGCTCCCCCCGCTCCCCGGTGTGTGCACAACCTCCGGGGTCACCCCCCCTCTTCACGACTCCCCCCTCCCCTCGGGGGGGCCCCCCGTCCCCCACTGTGTGTCACGCACGGGCTCCCCCCGCCCGGTGCCGGGACCGCAGCCCCCGGCGGCCCCCGCGCGGAGCCACGTGGGCGGCGGGAGATTCAAACCGCGGGTGGAGCCGCCGCCGTCACCGCGGCCATGGAGGGAACCGGGACGGGGCGCTGTGAGTGACCAGCACCGGCAAGGGGGGACTGCCGGGGGAGGAGAGGCGATGGGGAGTGCGGGGGGACAGGCAGGTCTGGGGGTGCAGGGGGATGGGGGGCGGGTAAGTCTGGGGCAGCCGGGGGGTGGACAGGGAGGTCCGGGGGTAGGCGGGGATGAAGGGAGCAGGCAGGTCTTGGGGTGCAGGGGGATGTGGGGGGACAGGTAGGTCTGGGGGTGCAGGAGGATCTGGGGGGACAGGTGGGTCTGGGGGTGCAGGGGGATCTGGAGGAACAGGTAGGTCTAGGGGGACAGGTAGGTCTGGAGGTGCAGGGGGTTGGTTGGACAGGGAGGTCGGAGTGCAGGGGGATCTAGGGAGACAGGTAGGTCTGGGGGTGCAGAGGGATGAGGGAACAGGCAGGTCTGAGGGTGTGTGTAGAGGAAGGGCAGTACTGTGTAGGGTCCCAGGCGCCTGGGGACAAACGGGGACATGTTTTGAGGAGTCGTTTGGTGGTGGGCAGCCGGGTGCCCCCCAGCAGTCGTGGGTGCCTCCAGCACCAGCAGTGCCAAAGGATCCCAAACCTGCAGCTGTGTCCCCCTGAGTGCTGACTCTGGGCCCCCGCTCCCTGGTGCCAGCTCTGGGTGCCAGCTGTGGCCGTTATTTGGGAAAAAGGGAAGTTGGAAACTTTTCCTCCAACCGCCTGAAGGGCCTGGCTGGTGTCACCGTCATGCTGGTGCCTCCCCCATGTGGCTGTGGGAGGCTGCTGTGCTAAAAGCCTGCCTCCCTTTCCCAGATCTTAGTGTGGGTGGCCGTGGGGGCTTCCAAAAGCCCCCCCAAGCAGAGGGCTCTGACGGGCACCCCCATCACTGCCCAGGTGAGCGCCTGACTGCGGCTGAGATGGACGAGCAGAGGAGACAGAACGTTGCCTACCAGTACCTCTGTCACCTGGAGGAAGCCAAGCGGTGGGGCTGCACCTGGGGAGCCCCTCGAGCTCAGATTTGGGGGGGAAAAGGGGTGCAAAGGAGAGGGGATGAGGGCAGGGGGGCTGGGTGGGGGTGGCTATAATGCTGCAGAATCTTGCCCAGACTCTGGGGCTTTGTGGCCCTCAGAGATGCTTTTGGGGGTAGTTTTTGGGGGGAGGCTCTCAGCCAAGCACCCAAACTGAGAACCACCTGGCAGCAAAGGGCTGGGGGCCGACCTTCCCTGCCAGGGGCATTTATGGGGAGGGGGTTGAGAGGGTCTCCTCTGGGTGCTTTTCCTGCCTGGTGGGATGCTGGGGTCCGTGATGTGCCCCATCTTTGCCCTGCCAGCTGGATGGAGGCCTGCCTGGGGGAGGGGCTGCCTCCCCCCACCGAGCTGGAGGAGACCCTGCGCAACGGGGTCCTCCTGGCCAAGCTGGGCCACTGCTTTGCCCCGGCTGTGGTCCCGCTGAAGAAGATCTACGATCATGAGCAGACTCGGTACAAGGTAAGGCTGTAACACCAGAGGTGTGTTCCTTAGGGTGTACCCCCAAACCTCCCTGTCACTGGTGAGTGCAGAGCAAGGAGGGGCTTTACTGACAGCGGTCACTGAGGGACAATTTCACAGTGAATGGCTGCAATGGGGTCCTTGAACTGTGCTGCCCTGGGGGTTCACGGGTGTTGCCTCTGAATTTAACTGCCTGCCCTGGCTGGGTGGGTTTGGTGGGGAACCCCAGGGATAGGAGAAGTTCAGCCTGACTCTAGCTCCTCTTTTCCAGGCAGCTGGGCTTCACTTTCGGCACACGGATAACATCAACTATTGGCGTGATGCCATGAGCCATGTGGGGCTTCCCTCGGTAATGTCCCCCCTCCGCTCTCCCCGGCCAAGGGACATGCTGGCCTCTGCCCTGTGGCAGCACTGTGGGGAGTGCTGGTGTGGCAGGGGGTCTTTGTCTCTGCCCCCCACCCTTGGACACCATCCTGCCCAGGGACCGTCTCGACGCCATCCCCACCTGAGCTGTCTCTTGTCTTTCTGGCAGATCTTCCACCCGGAGACCACCGACATCTACGACAAGAAGAACATGCCCCGGGTGGTCTACTGCATCCACGCACTCAGGTGGGTGGCCTGGCCTGGCTGTCACCACTCACGAGCCCTTTGGTGGCGTCACCCGCCAGCCTCGGCTGCCACAGCAGCTTTGGGAGGGAGAAGCAGGTGATGTTACGGTCATGGTCTGTCTTTCAGCTTGTACCTCTTCAAGCTGGGGCTGGCTCCTCAGATCCAGGACCTGTATGGCAAAGTGAACTTCACAGGTACGCTGCTGTGTGTGGGGACCTGGGCTGGGGGCTGGTGAGGAGGGGCTTGCCATTGATGTTTTGGGATCCTGTGGCAGGAGGGGTGTGGGGAGTGAAGATTTTGGGTGAGCTTTGCCAAAGCTGCCTCAGGGATGCTCACCCCAGTGTGGGGATTTTCTGCACCCCTCTGGTTTGGAAGGGGAAAAGGGGCTCTGCTGGCTGCCCTCGCTCCAGTGCAGTCTCTCTGCTCTGCTCCAGAGGAGGAGATCAACAACATGAAGCGGGAGCTGGAGAAGTACGGGCTGCAGCTGCCTGCCTTCAGCAAGATCGGCGGCATTTTGGCCAACGAGCTCTCAGTGGATGAAGCAGCAGGTGACGGGTGCCTGGTGGGGAGCAGGGCTGGGCAATCAGCCCCTGGATACCAGGTCTGCAGCCAGCAAACTTGGGAGGTGGTGCTTTGGGAGGTGGTGTTGGTCTGGGATGCAGCGGAGGCACCTGGTTGCTCACCTTCAGCCCCGCACGTGGCTGCAAGGGCTGGCACAGCCCCTTCCCCGCTGGCAGCACCGGGGGTTCTACACTACCTGTTCTTGCTGTGAGACACTGAGACTTCCCGTGTCCTGGAGACTGCAGCTCACTCTCTGGTGGTTCCCACCATCGTGCAGGGAGTGGCTCTTGTCCCACTGCGTGCAGGGTTATAGTGGATGGTCCATCTCACTCCTCCGTGTCCCATCTCACCCCCCTCCTTCCCGCCTCGCCTCCAGTCCACGCCGCGGTGCTGGCGATCAACGAAGCGGTGGATCGGGGGGTGGTGGCCCAGACGATGGAGACCCTCCGCAACCCCAGCGCGATGCTGCAGGACCTGCGTGGGGAGCTGGCGGGCGCCTACCAGGAGGTGCTGCACCGGGCGAAGCTGGAGAAGGGCAGCAATGCCAGGAACAGGGTGAGGAGGGCATGGGGGGCTCAGGGAGGGGGCAACTGGGAGAGAAGCAGCCCCT